TTAAGTGTACCTTACTCTACTGCTTTTCAAATGTCAAATATGATGCAAGACATTACTACATTAAACTGTCATGTAACAAAGTCATACACCGCCGCCACCAATAACAACTTAAATTCATGTATATAAGGTAGAAATAGACTTTGCACTTGAAATTTTCCATGCATTATGTATCAGAGGCATTTAAATGATTTCTTTACCGCTCAACAGCGCTTGCTTCTTAGCATTGTAGGCTGCCTTGAATAGCCTCTCCTTGACAGCACCAGAAGACTTCACAGCATTTGTGATCCTGCAGAAACAACATTTAAATAGATGGTTTCCCAAAAGACTGGTTAGCAATCAAATAATTAATTTCAAAAACAAAAAAAGGTTGCATTTACCCAGCATATATTCTATTGTAAAGTCGAGGAACGCTGCAGAATATGGTGGGCCTTAGAACAGCCAAATCATCCATCAGTTTCATATTATCCTGGACATAGATTTTTTTAAAAAAATATAAGGATTACCCTCAAGGACAAAGAACAAACTTTTCCTTGTATCCTAGAGAGCATAATAGGATATCAAAAGCTACTAGTTTACAAATATCTGCAAACTACATGATTAAATTAGAGCCATTAATAATCTTCAAAACAAAATGTAGAGGATAATATATATTAATAACAATTAGAGATCAGTTGCAATATAAATACGAACATTAACCTTGAAATAGATAGCATATTTAGTAAATCCATCATAATGCAGAACAATACACACAATCAGGAAGAATGCAAATAATTTTAATTTTAAAGTGAAGCAGCGTCCAATGGAACATCAGTAAGATAGTAACAAAGGTAGGAACAAAGGTCAAACCATTTCTTTTCCAATCTAAATAAAATAGTAATGCTGATGCTGTTTCAAAGATATGAGAGGAGAACGTTAGAAGGTTCATACTCTTACCCCCTGGTAGAATCCAGTAGCGACACCGTAATGAACTACCATGACTTGGTTTGCGCGTTCATAAATGTGTGCCAAAGGAAGATATGATATGTAACTGAAAAGATACTATGTAATTTCAATAACACTAAATAGAAACAGGCAACAAATGCAATAATAAATTATGAGAATACACTTCCAAGAAATGAAAGCACTAGCACTTACACATCTGAAGGGTAGAATTTAGTAGTAAGAGTTGCGCCCGCAACACTTGCAATCAAGTTTCCATGGGTCAATATAGCACCCTTGCAAATTGTTTGCCAGAAGAGTGAAAAAGAGTTTAGTTTCTATAACAAGTGAACTGATATGTAATGATCCTAATAATTAAGTGGATAATTACAACGTATATGCTAATCTCTTAATAATCAGCAAATACTATTCTTTTGTTTTAGTTTTATTTTAAGTTTGTTTATGTCAGATCTTTCTAATAAATTTTTGACAGTTGTTTCTAATTGGCGCTTTAAGCTCATATAGCTTTTAGTTTAAACATAGTTTAAGTTTGAAAAATATTTAGATTACTGACTTATTTTTCTGACTATCAGAGTTAAAAAGTTAAAAAATGATAAGCAAATTAATGAGTTCTAATCTAAAATTTTAATTATATGACAAAAAATAACAACTAGTTATCTTTTTTATTAGAAAAATTATGTTTTAGTATCTTTATATCATAAAAACTTAAAAACAATTCTATTTTTATCCATTTAAGAGTTTTAATTTTCTTAATTATATTATAAAGATATTTAAATGAATTTACTAATATTTAATTAACTTTTCAATAAATCAATTTTATTTATAATAAAAGAAACTTTAAAGAAAAACTAAAAAATCACTGGCTGTGCAGCCCCCTATTTTTCTTTTAATTTGGGGGTTGCAGTGGTGGCAGCCCAATTTTTTTTTATCCCCTAATACTTTTTATTGAGTAACAGTGAAGAAGACAGAAGAATGATCTTTTTTTATGTTAGATTGAAATTTAGTATTTCGGAAATGAATATATTGGCCATGTTTAACGCAACTTGCTAAAAGTTCCCTAACAAAAAAAATGGTCCTAGGAGGTTCTTGGGCTTGAATTTTTTAGCATTTTTTGTATGTTAAGAAATTACTATGTTATGATATTTTTTATAAAAAAATTTTGCTTTAAGCATATTTTGCCCTAAAAAAAATGCAATCTAAAAACTTTATTTTGCCCTAAAAAGACTGCAATCTAAAAACTTTCTTACTTATCTATAATAACTACATGAAGTGTTAGTGGGGAATAGAAAGGAAGTTGCGAAGTAGGAAGGAAGTCGCAAAAATAACATTTTGCAAATCCTCTTTATGATTTCTCAATTTCCAAATCATAAACAGACCCTAAACCTGTTAACTTATTATAGCATTAGAGTTGTTGGTTATAGGAACTTGAGATAGTTTTTCTTGTTTCTTTTTCTCTAGGAAAGAAATACTATAGACTGAGAAAGAGAACTACAACTTATGGAGAATTAGATACCATCCAAAAATCCTTTGGATTAAAGGAGAAAATCCAGCAAAGCTCAGCACATGTAGTTAGCCAATCTCTATAAAAGGTAGACAAAGTGTAACATTTCAACATTTCAGGAGCACAATAACTATTCGGCAAACAATTTTCAGATTCAAACTACTGTCTATAAAAATCTAGCTGTCACGGTCTGCATATGATCTCAGGGCCTTTTAACATGAAGTCCCAAAGTAAGTAAACTATTTGCTTCCTAGCTTTCCAGCCTTCTTGGCCTATGATGAGGCTCATCTAAGAGAACCTCTGACCGAGAAAAATCCTTTGGATTAATTGTTAATGCTTTCATTCATATTAATCTCCGTATATATGGAAAAGCTAATTGAATTACATTCCTATAATAATTCTAGGAATCACAATTTCTCTTTGATTCTAATTCCTAATTCAAATCTAATTATAACTCAATGAATCATAGTGACAAACCGCAAAGCCCACAATGCCCCACCATCAAACCCAAACGGTATTTGGACCGAGTAAAAGCACATGTGCAGAACGTGCAGAAGAAGAAGAAGAAAAAGTGCAGAAATATGTTAGCCGGAATCAGCTCAATCTTATCTTCAAGCTAATCTTTATTTTTTTGAATTCTTTTCCCTAGTTATCAGTAGGTTCAGTTAGAAATTTATATTTTTAAACACTCATTTGCAGCAATAAGAGGCATCGAAAAATTGCAAATAAATTGTGGTTCTTCTCACCCAAACGAGAAAAATTTGCTTATCAATTAAACAAGCTTTTGATTGGAACCTATCAATTGGTATCAGAGTCATGCCCACCAACAAAGAAAGAATAGAAAACCTGGAAAACAGTGTGGGCGGAATGCAAGACCATCTAAGCCGAATGGAGGTCGACCTGGTCGACCGCATGCTTCAGCTTCAGCTCGAGCATACCGTCCGACGACTCACTGACTCCCTGATGCTCAATAGGGAGGGTGCTAGCAGCAACACCACCGACCATCCCGGGCAATCGCATCCGCCTCGCGAAGAAGTTCCCGAACGGACCGAAGGGGGCCGACCGCTGTTCAGGTCTAAAATCACAAAGTTGGACTTTCCCACCTTCGACGGAGACGATCCGACCGAATGGTGTAACTGAGCCGAGCAATTCTTCGACTTCCAGAACATCGCCAACGGCTAGAAGGTCTCTTTAGCCGCCTTCTATCTGACGGGCGAAGCCAACCAGCGGTGGCAGTGGCTTCGCCGCACATACAGAGAAGAAGGGAAAGAGGTCACATGAGCTTTTAGGAGGAGCTTTGGGCCCGATTTGGGCCGACGGTGTGCGAAGATTTTGATAAGGCCCCATCCCGTGTGAAGCAGTCTGGCCCATTATGCAAATACCAGAAGGAGTTTGAGAAGTTGGGCAATCGAGTGCAGAGCTGGACCCAGAAAGCGCTGGTGGGCACTTTCATCGGCGGGTTTAAGCCCGAAATCGTGGAAGGTATCCACATGTTCAGGCCCAAAACACTGAAAGCCTGGCCCGCATGAGGGAGGAACAGCTGAACCGGTAGAGGAGGTTGATCCGGGTTCCCCGAAACCCGACCGGTCAACTAGAAACCCTAACTGCTACAAACGTTCCACCCTGATGACTCTCGTAGAAGGAGGCTCAATGCTGCTGTGCACAGGGTTTGTGCTACCATTGTGACGAGAAGTTCACCGCAGGCCACCGGTGCAAACGGCCGCAACTCTTGCTCCTTGAATGCGGGAATGAAGAAGACGAAGAGGAAGCAAGGCCCGAGAAGCCAGAAATCTCCCTCCATGCCCTCACGAGGTGGTCGACTCCAAAAACCATGAAGGTCGCGCTGCCATTCAAAAACAAGAATCTATTGCCCTCATCGACAACAGATCAACTCACAACTTCATCAGTGAGCGACTCGTCAACTCTCTGCAGCTCCTAGTGGTGCCGACACCTCCCTTCCTGGTCAAGGTCGCAAATGGCGACCTGATAAGATGCCGAGCTGCTTTGAGGATATCTCGGTGCCACTAAACAGTATTCCCTTCTGACTCACTCTCTTTGCTTTACCATTAATCGGGTTGGATTTGGTTCTAGGCATATAGTGGCTGGAAAGCTTGGGTCCGGTCTGTTGTGATTGGAAAGCTGGGACGATGGAGTTCACCAGAGACCGCCGGCTCCACCGCTTGCAAGGCATGCAGACCGAACCAATACAATCCACTTCCAGCAACACCATGGCCAGAGAACTCAGCAAACTACCCTCTCTGTTTGCCCTCTGTGTGAAGACCGACGCCTCCACCACACCCACTGCCGAAGTCAGGCCTGATATGCAAGCTGTTTTCGATGAATTCCAAGCAATCTTCCGCACACCTGATTCACTACCACTAGCCAGAAAAATTGACTACCACATCAACCTTCGCGAAGGGGCTGAACCGGTGAATGTCCACCCACACCGGTACGCCTACTTTTAGAAGGCTGAAATAGAGAAACAGGTGGATGCAATGCTCAAGACCGGCCTCATACAATATCGCACCAGCCCCTTTTCATCCTCAGTATTACTAGTACGGAAGAAAGATGGCCTTGGTGATTCTGCACCGATTATAGGGCTCTCAATGCGGTTACCATCAAAGATCGCTTCCCTATCCCAACCATGGATGGCATGTTCGACGAGTTACATGGTGCCGCCTTTTTCACTAAATTGGATCTTACAGCTGGGTACCACCAAGTCAGAGTATATCCTCCTGATGTGTACAAGATGGCCTTCCGAACTCACAGTAGCCATTATGAATATTTGGTGATGCCCTTTGGCCTATATAACGCCCTCTCCACATTTCAGGCTCTTATGAATAACATGTTCCGACCTCCGTAAATTTGTTCTAGTATTTTTTGATGATATTTTGGTTTACAGTACTACTTGGACCCTCCACTTTGATCATGTAAGACAGGTACTAGAAGTCTTAACACAGAATCAATTCTTTCTCAAGCTAAAGAAGTGTGAGTTTCGGCTACAAAAGATTGAGTATCTGGGGTACATTGTCACCTCTGGCGAGATAAAAGTTGATCAGAAAAAGATTCAGACTGACTCACTGGCCTCCACCAATCAACACCACCGAACTCAGAGGCTTCTTGGGTTTAACCGGGTACTATAGAAGGTTTGCGTGCAATTATGGACTCTTAGCCAGGCCACTGACCAACCTGTTAAAAAAGGAAATTTTTGAATGGACATCAAAAGCAGGGAAAGTATTTGAGAACTTGAAGAAAGCTATGACCACTACACCAACCTTGGCTTTACCTAATTTCAAAGAGCCATTTACTATTGAGACAGATGCTTCAGGAGAGGGAACTGGGGTTGTCCTCACTCAACATGAGCGGGACTCTCGGAATATCAAAGTAGTCTTGGTTCGACTATGTAAAAGAAATGTTAGCAATAGTCGTTGCTGTACGATTTTGGAGACCTTACCTTCTTGGCCATACATCTTTTATCAAGATAGATCAGAGAAGTCTCAAGTATCTTATAGGGCAGCACATCACTACCCCAGAACAATAGAAATAGATGTCCAAGCTCTTCGGATATAATTATGAAATTCTCTACAAACCAGGAAAAGAAAACTCTGCTGCAGATGCCCTCTCGTAAAGAAGGAAGTCCCATCTTGCATCACCTATCCGCTTCTCACTATAATATCTAGGACAACATTCAGAAGGCAGCACTCGAGCATCTTTATATGTAGAAACTTAAGAAATTAGCATCCGATAATCCAGGGCAATCGTACACCAAGAAAAATGGGCTGGTCTACTATAAGAGTTGGGTAGTGGTACCCCCAGATACCGATATTAGTAAACAGTTACTCCAATAATTTCATAACTCTCCATTAAGAGGTCATTCAGGTGTACTCATAACTTACAAACGTCTAGCCCAACAATTTTACTAGCCCGCAATGCGCAAAACAGTTCACCATTATATTTCGGCCTGTGACACCTGCCAAAGAACAAAAGTGGAAACTCTCTCCCGGGCAGGTCTTCTTCAGCCTCTGCCAATTCCGTGTCAGGTATGGGATGACATCACCATGAATTTTATTGAAGGACTCCCCCCTTTCAATGGGAGAACTGTCATATTTGTGGTAGTCAACCACCTCAGTAAGTCAGCTCATTTTGTTGCTCTATCTTATCCATTCTCAGCCAAGACTGTAGCAGAAAGATTTGTGGATAGTGTAGTAAAATTGCATGGAATGCCGAGATTTATTGTAAGCGACCGAGACCCAGTATTTATTAGTCATTTCTGGTAAGAGTTCTTCAACTCTCAGGAACTCAGCTAAAGATGAGTTTATCTTATCACTCGTGAAGGACAATCCGAAAATAGTCAACCGATTGCTAGAATAATACTTACGCTGCTTTAGTCCCCAATAACCTCGCAAATGGAGCACAATACTTCCATCGGCAGAATTTTGGTACAACATGTACAACACTACCTATCACTCAGCCATTGGAATGTCCTCATTTCAGGCTCTTTACGGTTGCCTACCACCAGTCATTCCCAAGTACCAACCAGGTGCAACCTCTGCTGTCGAAGTTGATGTTCAGCTAACTGCTAGAGATGAGCTACTCAGACAACTCAAGGCCAATCTGCAAACAGCACAAAACAGAATACAACAGTTCTCCAAATCTAAGAGACGCAATTTTCAATTCGAAGAAGGGGACTGGATATTTCTTAAGCTACAATCCCACATACAGCAGTCAGCCTTCAAGCGGGCTTTTCAAAAATTGGTCTGTTGCTTCTATGGACCCTACAAAATCATACAAAAGATTGGACCAGTCGCATACAAATTACAACTACCTTTTGAGGCCCGAAACACCCAATCTTCCATGTTTCTATGCTCAAAAAGAAAATAGGAAACTCCCCCAGTTGGCCTGATGCACTACCAGCAATGACAGATGAAGGGGACCTCATTTTACAGCCAGATGCCATCCTTGATGCTCGTTGGGCAAAGCATGGCTCCCGCATTATAGAAGAAAACTTGGTCCAATGAAAACAACTGCCAAAAGAAGATGCAACATGGAAAAATGCTGAAGCACTGCAAGAACACTTTGGCAACCTCAACCTTGCGGACAAGGTTCCAAAAAAAGGGGGAGATAATGATAAACCTTAAAGGCCACAACGCCCCACCATCAAACCCAAACGGTATTTGGACTGAGTAAAAGCACATGTGCAGAACGTGCAGAAGAAGAGGAAGAAAACGTGTAGAAATATGTTAGCCGGAATCAGCTCAATCTTATCTTTAAGCTTATCTTTATTTTTTTGAATTCTTTTCGCTAGTTATCGGCAGATTCAGTTAGAAATTTATGTATTTAAACACTCATTTGCAGCAATAAGAGGCATCGATTGAGACCTATCACATAGTCCTAGTTTTATCTCAATTTCCTAATCTAAATTTAAATCTACATCTAAATACTAGATAGAAATTATTAAAGGATTCTAAATGAAATTACTAAAGAATTCTAGCTCTTATTAGTTTCTTAAAGAAACCAACCTCCTGCCTAACTATAGACTTAATCTCCTTCCTTTTGCTGCTTCCATGTGTCCCATACCTCCTTTTTTAGCAATTGCAACATTTTTCCCCTCCTCAAATTGAAGCATTTCCCATAAGTGCCAAAGTGGAACTTTTGATCATCTTAACTCATAACCCTTGCATCCTTCTTATCTCTAATCTCATGGTTCTAAAATTCCAACTAAAATTGCTTTGCACAAACGTGCTCTTAAACAAATGGTTCATTCATAGTTGAAATAGAGGCCCTTCTTCCTCGTCTTCCATCTCGTCCCTGCTCAATTTCTTGATAAACTGGGGCAAGTTAGATGCTCGTTTGTTGTTGTTGTCCTCTAATTTCCTTCGACTGCCCCTCCTTTCATATAGCCTTGCCAAAATCATAGCAGCAGTGATATCAAGTGGTTGTAGCAGCTTGACTTTAATAACGATATATTCATGATGGCCATTAATGAAGATCTCAACTTCTTGCTCGGAGTGAGGGCTTATACAGGTGTAGGAAGCTACTCAAAGCGCTGCTGGTACTCACTAACCATTTCCTCCTGCTTCAACTTAACCGGTTCTCCTAAATTATTTTTGCACATTGACATATCGAAACTAAATTTGCAATAAGATTTAAGTTCTTCCCAAGAGAACTCTGGTTACTCTTGCTCTAACTTCAAGAACCATAGTTTTTTCAATAGAAACTTTACAAATCATAGTTGTGCATCGTCTTCAAGGCGAAAAGAGGCTAAATCCATGTTATCTTCTTCAGTTGTCCTCTAGTATCAGAGAAAATGTTCACACATGTTAATCCACCCCAGCAGATCGGCTAAGTAATCATATCTAAGAAAATCTAAAGTCGTCAACTGAGCATCATACTTCCCCCTTCTGTAGAGTTGCTAAAGTCGGCCAGCTTCTTGTCATTTTTTTTCGAAAGCTGCTAGTATCAGCACTCTCCTTTATTGTGGTCAGCAGTTCTTAAGAGATGCTTTCAATTAGAGTGGCAAGCCTGTGCTGCTTCTCCTCTAAGCGGCCATGATACTCTTGGTATTGCTTCATTCCTTGTTTGATAGAAGAAGATTTATTATGATAAAGAGAAGAAAAAGTACAAAGAAATGAGGGAATGACGTCCTCCAGATGTTATAGACTATAATGAGCAAAAAAATTGTAAAGAGGTATGATACATAACGAATGTAAGAAATTAAGGACCATAAATAGACAATGTCCCAATTCTAAAGTTCAGAAATAGATAGTTAAGGTGTTTTCAATGAAGAAGCAGCAGATTCAAGCCTAAATTTTCTTCTTCTACTGTTTTCTTTGCTCTCTGTTTGTCTGGTTTTTCCAGCTTCTGTGTTGCTTTTTGTTCTCAACAGTTTCTGTTCTTCCAAACACACAGCCAGCAGCCAATAACACACAACCAACAGTTTTTAAAGAAGACAATCAATATATTTTAAGTTCCAAAGACGAAACTGCGCTTGATAGACTCTTATTCTTCACTTGGACACCCTACCTCTTCCATTTTTTCTGAATCCTGTAACTAATCTCAATTTTGAAAGAAATTTTATTAGAATATATACTTTTCACTCTCTCCTTCCATTCCTTTTACCCCTCACTATCTTTAGTATCCTACTATACCAACTTGTCCAAGTTCTTGATTTTGGATCCTTAATTTTAGAGATCTGGACCAAGAACTAAAATGAATCCAAGTGAAACCGCACCAAAAAACCAGTTCGAAGAATTTGATATATAGATCGTGGGGATGTTGAACAGTCCTGATAAGTTTGCTCCAAGAAGAATTTCAGACTTTTCTCAACTTGCGCTGGGAGAATTGACACAAAATAGACTAGAAAAGGAGCAAGATCATGTGGTTTTCAAGGCAAAACATTAAGAATAACAGCAAAGGTGGAACATGATGTCCATAAAGTTTTCAGGCGTCAGTGCGTATAAAAAGGAGAGAGAGAAGAAGGTAGTTCTAGTAGGGAAAGACATAGCATGCAACCAGAAGCTGGATAAATGATCAAGCTAGTGTAAGTCCTATGGTTCCCAAATATTCAAAATTTACAAAGCAGGCAGTGATGCAGTTGGCAACAGCGTTTGTGGATGCTGATTGAGGCTTCTAACTCCAATTACTAGCTACACTTACCAAAAATTTTAGTATGCCTACACGATTATAATAATAAATTTGTTTCAGTTTTCTTTTAATTAATTTTGTTTCAGTTTTATTTTAAATTTAAATCTTCAGTTATGTCAGTTTCCATCTGAGTTAGTTATCTTAGCTTTTCTCTAATTATTGAAATTATTTGTTATATTTGATCTATAATTTGTAACTTTTATAAAGTTTTAATGGTGGAAAAAAGTAGATGGAGAAGATCAGACAATGTTCTTGATCCTTGAGTTATCACTAAACAAGCCGAAATTATTTTAACAAAATTATGGAAAGGAAATTGCAGAAATCATATTATGGCTCTAACATTAGGAATTTCTAGTCGTTAAGTGATACCTTTGGTATACCAGTTGTACCACTTGTGTAGCAAATCGTTGCAACATCATCAGGCTTTGGTGGGATAAAAGGCTGAAGACTACTGCGACCCTACAAAGAAACCACTCAAATGAGGAAGAACCAATTTCACTCAGTTAAAAATGCATTCTATGACATCACTACATAATTTTATGTTGACCTCAACTTGTAGAAAACAAAGTCTAGATTCCAGAGCAGGAGCATAACAACGTGAATAAGAACGTGTCTGCAAGTGTTTAATGTCAACCAGGATGTTGCTAAAACGAAGGTTAAATGAATGCAGGAATCTAAGACAGAAGCTTGTAGCATCACTAATAAAATTATTCTTCTATAATTACATATGCAATCAAATGCACAACAACAGCAAAAATTGCAGAGAGGAAGTGGAGATGAAATCCGGCATATTCAGCATTGACTACCACGAACATCCACAACAATAATCCCATTCCAGTTATCCAGGCAAAATCATATATCTAGTGCCTTCCTAAGCACTAAAACCTTGATTCTGCTGTAGAAGTTAAGTGACACGATATAGAAGCATTTGTAATACCTGACTAAGGAACTTTGAATATGTTACAACCTTGACTTCTATTGATGTTGGAAGTGAAGGCAAATGGTCATTTACCCCTCCAACAACCTGTTCAAACAAAGGAAATAGAGATAATTTTGATAAAATGGAGGATTCAGTCAAAGCTGCAATTTTCGTCCCAAATAAAATATTCAGATAAAAAAGATCAGGCAGTTAAGCATACCACAATTAGGCGTGCAGTTGGAATATCAGACAAGAAGCTTAGCAACTGTAAATTCCAAGAGATAACATAGCAGGTATCATTTCTATCAGACAATTAAATTTCAATAGATTAACTAAAAATTTTTAAAATGATATAAATATTTATACTATGGTCTAAATGTCACTGAAAAAGTGAACTGGCTTTTCATAACATATACTGTAAGCATCCAAATACCATGTTTCACAAGAAGATTAAATCATTTTGGTTTTCCCAACTGAAAAGTGAAAGAAGGAATTACAATTATTACCCACCAGAATGCAGGATAATACAATTATAGGTAAATGTTTTTTAGATGAAGAAGGAAAAAAGAAAAAGAACAAGAAAAGAACATGTTACTGTGTGAGAAACATCGACATTTTATGTTCTGGACCATCAAAATTTTAAACCCTTGACTTTGTTAAAAAAACTTGAGGAAACTTTACACACTCCAAAGGAAAGAAGAAACAACAAAACATTCTCAAGAAAACAAAAAGGCATCAGAGTCACTGCAAGCATAACTAGGGAAGATATTGCTATGACATGCACAGCTCAAATATTTCTCCACCTTCCAGTAAACTATTTGTGCAAGTTAACCATCTGACTCCTGATTTAAGCACAAAATGGAAGGAGAAGCCATAAGGTTGAGAAAGAGAGCTGGAAAAAGGGATGGATGAAAACTAATTCAATAAATAATATGACCTTCTTAGAAAAAAAAATTAAAAAATAAAAAAAATAAAGACTATGAACTTTAAGATCAAATCTTAAAATTGATATTTTTTTCTGTATGCTTAGATATCAGTAAAAAATTATATGTTTTTTCTCCAAGACTTCTGAATATAAGATCGCATTCTTCTTCAAGCAAAATAAGATGAAATAATTTTGCTATAGAGAACATCATGTGGATTTCCAGCCACCTTATGGATTGATGATTTTCAGTCCCATCCAAATTCGGGCTATGTTTGGAATATAAATGAATTTCATAAAAAGTGTGGAATTTATTTATAAATCTATATCTTTATCTATATTCTAACGACAAAGATATTATATTTGTAAATGAAGTCTCCATTTCTTTGAAGGATTTATTTGTTCCAAACATTGTGCCAATGAACTGATAATTCAATGCACTTTTTTTAAAAGCGTCTGAACCATGCTTTACACACATAACCTCACAGTTACCAGACTCTAATATCCGAAAATTACGAAGGCATTAACAGAACTGTAAGAATTAACATGGAACTACTAGTCCATAAGGTTGAATAAGAAGTTCAGACACTGGGAAGGTAATCTTCTCCTAAGCTTACATCATTTCAGCAAGCGCAGCCAAAAAGCAAAAAGGTTGAACTTACAGGATTCAATGTTTGTGGCACACAAAATATTGCTTGCAGGGAGGCATGATTTACAATGTACTTAACAGCATCAGGACCTGAAGAAACACAAAGTTCCACTTAAAAATCTAGAAGCCAAGCTTAGATAAACACTGTTAGAGGTTCAATGCTAGACCAGAGAGAGACCAAGTGTGTCATATAAGGGAACAGAAATATAAGAATATGCCGAACAGGCATGATCAACAATGATCCATTCTGGTCTGTTGATGAAGTACAATCCAACACAAGATCCCTGTTACAGACAAACCAAAGCTAATATTAATCAGAAAATACACCAGTCCTTGGAAAAGGTTTACTGAAGCATCAAAATATTCAAAATTTTAATTTGTTTTCAAATTATCACCTTTGGCACCCCATGATACATGAGGCCTGAACCTATGGCCTTTCGAGCTATACCTGCTTCTCCATAAGTCATCCATTTGTACCTTTAAGGGTCAGATACAAAAGGTAAGAGTAGGTAAATTCGACAAATTATTAATTTTTTCTATACAAATAGAAACTTACTCTCCAACTGTTCCATCAGCCTGAATTCTTGTTCCAAGATATTTGTAACCCCTAAAAATTTCAGTTGAGCGCCTGACATTCATGAAAATAGAGGAATCATTTCAAATACTTATGAACATGAAAAATAACATTATATGGATGCATAAACTATAAACCTTATGTACAATCTAGCCAAAAACTAGTGAGATACTCACACAAAATTATCATGCAGCGTACCAATATCAGGAGAGTCAGGAAATCTACTAACAAGCTTCAATGGAGAACGAGCAGATCTGCATCATGAACGCAGGGAAATAATCTTAAAATATTGATAGGGAATTTTCGAGCAATCAACAAAACATTGGTTGCCACCTACCTGCATACATCCCACTTTCCTGTCTGCAGTTTCTCCGGAAGCACAACACTGTATCCCTGCTCTGTTCAGATAGATAATAAACAAATAAGCCTCATTTATATGGTCCAAAATCTATCCATCCCTATGCAAGGAGCATAAGGCGAAAAGGAAAATAAAACAAGTAAATCCCATTAGATATCATATTTCTTTACCAAACTATCCCAGAACATATTGCTTCTTGCTTTTGACCAGTATAAGAGGTATGAACCAGATGACTGTTTAAAGAACAAAAAAATTAAAAAAAAAAAGAAAAATAGAGAGAATAAACTGCATTTTCATCCAATCCATTGAGAAGAAGATCTATCCCTCGTTTGTGAGTTCCACTTCTCTAGTCATACAAAATGAATAGATAATTTTGACACTAATTAGAGAATTGACCTTCAAAGAAGAAGTAACCTACAAAATAAGCCAAGTAAGTTTTAGTTTAACCTGAAACATAACTTAAGGCTATTTTGCCCTTGATAAACACTTCCTCATTAAGATATGCTTGACAAATCCACTGCCTACACGAATTCCCTCTTAAAGTTCGCCCTTTTTCTATCAGATAATGAGAGCCCTCTGGTTCTCAAGGAGTAGCAACAGTTTCATTTACTACCCTGATGGGATGAGACCAGTGAGCGAAGTATCAGCTTCTGCGTCCTCTTTATCAAGTTAAAAATTCCAAGAAAAAGAAGGATAAAACAGATCCCAGAAACATTAGCTTCCTGTTTCTCAGAAAAAAAAAAACAGCCGAAGGGCTCCATGCATATATATACGCATGTAAAAGCCAAGTCTCGATAGCTTTACTAGTCCAGAATACCAAGAAACCATATCATGGAAAAACCAACGAAGACGCGTTTTTAATGTCATCAATCATTTGACATCCAGTAGAATTAAATAAACTAGAGCTTGCGGTTATCCGATTATTACCAATAGGAAACAACCAACAATTAATACACCGAAGAGCAAATAAGCCACAAAAGGAAAAGGCCATTCAAATTACGTTGACAATAAGTTCCAACTAAAGACCTTCAGCGGAATATTCTAGTTACATTCTGTAGAAAAGAAAAGCTCTAACACCTGAACGCAACAGACCAAGGAAAGGAGAAATGAGAGATCTCCATTGCAAAAGAAATGGTAACAAGTGTCATAATCCATTTCCGCGGACGAGATTATGTAAAGAAGAATTGACGACCAAAAAAGAAAAACTACACTAGATAAGGATTTACATCTACACACATACACACAAAAAAATAATATATATATATATAGAGAGAGAGAGAGAGAGAGAGTACCAAGAAGGAACTCGCCAGCAGTTGGGTTTGTATGGAGGAGAGAGGGACGACTAACGCCAGGGATGAGGTGGCCGCTAATGGCCTTTAGGCGACGTTGAGAGTTGGTTGAATCCATAGCCATCTTAAACGTTCACTTTTCAGATTCCACACAGGGATCGGCGCCTTCCAGTTTCTGTTATATATCCACTTTCCGTTGTTCCTGGGCAGCTGAGAAAGCTTAGTTTTCAAAGGATGAGTAACAATGGCGTCACACATATGAGGATGAGATTAAAGAAAAAAAAAGCATCAGTGTTGAGGGGGAAAGCAAGCGAGCAAGCAACTAAACTTTGACGCGATTCACGTACAAATAACAATGTGTGGATAAAACAATAAGCAGTTTACACAGAAATAAAGCATATGCATCATTTGTTATGGATTAAAATCTGCCGGCATGGATATTCTATCTTGTTCACATACTGCTTCGCCTTTTTGGACGTTGATTTGGTAAATTTACAGTCGGTATATTTTGGATGGCAGCTTCTGTCGTCTGAATGTCAGAGCCTTGCAGATAAAAATTTTTATTCGAGCAACAAAAAGATTGAAAATGATGAAGAGAGGAAAATTAATGAATGCAATCTCACTGCAAATCGAATCAAATGAAATAAATTTGCATGGTACCTGTTTGATTGATGTTATTTATGATTTTTCTCAGCGAGTTATCACTTTTGGTTTAGCCATTTGTGCCCTATCACTATCAGACCTTTTCTTCATATGCATATTATTATATATAATAAAATTTAATTTAATAATCTGATTTTCAAACTATAATATAATATTTATCCAAAAAAATATTTTTTAATGTTGAACGAATCAAACACAGAAAAGTTTAACTTCATTTTTCACATTTTTTTTTTTTTTCTGTAAAACTTCATTTTAAGAGAATTATTATGTTACTACTATACATACTGTGTGTATATATATATATATTTTTTAGAAAACTATAAAAAGTATATAATTTGTCAAGTAATCTGGGCCTAATTATACTTTCATAGTGATTTGCAAATTATAACATAATCTTTATCCCAAAAAATATATTTTAATGTCTATTATTATTGGACCAAGAAGCTCAAGTTGATTTTACATTTATTATTGTTATTATTATAGGAAATTATATTATTATTATTAGTAATAGTAGTAGTAAGATATAAATATTATAGAAAATAAGGTTATAAATAAAAACCAAGGGATGGTTGCGGGAGGAGATAAAGTGAAACTACTACAGAAGTTGGCACAAAAATAAATTAAAAAACAAAGGCATATAATGACTGAGGAAATAGATTTACTCCTTAACTAAGCTATTAATTTATATAAATTTTTTAAAGTATGCATTATTTAAATAAAAATACTATTTAAAAAATAATATACTTAAATAAATAATGTGTGCTAATCTTTTTAAATAAAAATAATATAATCTTATTTCGGGATATATACTCCTAAACTATTATACTATATAAAATTATTCAAGTCGTTCATGCATTATTTTTTAATTTAATGTAATATGTATTTTTAAATTTTGTTCAAATAAATATTTATCATTTACCTGCATAACATTATATAGATATATGATTTTGAAATTATTTATCAGCATACGCATCATATATTATCAATTAAATCTATTAACAGCACATTTAATTCAATGTGTCAATATAAACATATAAAATAGGAAGTTCTATATAAAAAAAATTTAATAAGGGTTGTTAATATGAATATATATATATATATATATATATATATTGTAACTTGCCAAAATCGACTATCATTACACATTCTCAACAATAATCACTCTTAAGTTCTATTCATTATTTAATTATATTATTTTTTAAAATCAATTGTCACCAGACAAACACATGTTAATATAACCTCTTTATTTATACTCAATATCCATGTAAAGATCCCAGAAATTATAATAATTTGAATGCAGAAGCGAAATAAAGGTTAAGGTTAACATCCCTTACACGATAACTCAAAAGTACTAATAAATATCACAGAACAAATTCTCTGAAAGAAATACGAAAAATAAAAAAAATTAAAAAAAAAAAAGTATCTAGTATCTACTCGTAGCCTTCTTACGGATCATGTTCGGGAACCGGATCCTCCTGATCTGAAATGGTTAAATAAAGGGTGAGCTACACTATCCCAATAAGGACATCACACTATCGCCGTCACAGAAGTAAAGGTTGGTAGAAAATTAAAACAACTAATGAAGCAGTAGATTTAAACCAATACATTTATTTAAAATAAAACCATTTACTCTTTTTCTTACAATTAGGAAATTTATAAAAACAATTTATAGAAGCAATAATATCATACGAATCACAATTTCATGCATAATCAGTAACATAGAATATAACATAAATTCGTATTCATTAACAATAATTAATCATCACCACTTCTCGTTTCACTAGCCTACTAGTATCCATAGGGATCCATAGAGGTGTCCCTGCTACACGTGAACCATTTTCCTTAACAATCTTGATTCCAATTCCGTTCCCATACCCGTCCGGTATGAGTACCAAGACATTAAACCTCAATACCCCGTCCGGTATGAGGGTGAAGCAGGCCGCCCCCATTCCCCGTCCAGTATGAACGCCAAATGACCAAGTCTCCATATCCCGTCCGGTATAAGACAACGTTCACGGTAGGGTTCCCTATGAACCTGATCCGTCTACCATCTCTCAGGATATCTAGTGAGGTTGTCACCTTATCCATTTATCAAATCACATCCCATTCCTATTTGTCCTTAGTCTTCGTCACCAAATAAAACATAAATACATAAACAAGCAACATGCATCCAATAATGCAATCATATTTTAGATTCTCAAAATCAAACAGTAGTCAAGTAAGACAGTAATACATGTATTTAGACCATACAATATATAAATAAGATATCATCATGCTTTTAGACTATACAATAAATCAACAGTAATCGACAGAAAACAATGTCCGACTTGGGCTCTATTCGCAATCCGTAATTAATCAAGCACATCTATTTAATTTGTACAAAGAACCGTATTATTATTTATTTGAACTTTAATTCCATGATAGAAAATAGGGTGAGGGGTCCTTACTTGATTCAACGCCAAAAACTAGATGGTTACTGCGCCTACGAGCGGTCCCTAGGTTCCCTGAATTTTTCTTCAGAAACTAAAATGCACTTATGGTACCTACAAGTGTCCTAAATAAACCCAAAAATTAGACCCAAGGCCTACTCGACCAATTTCGGAATTCCAGCACGGCGGCGATCCGCCTCAAGTTGGTTGTTTTCGACCGAATTCAGCCGAACTTGCACCGGTTCCTGCGATAAAACACACTTAAGGTCTTCGGTGGGCCCAAAAAATGAAAAAAACTGAAACTCACTAGCGGTAGGGCTCTCCGGTACGGCGGCTCCTCCAGCTCACGTTGCGGTTGGGTGTTTTACTTCGGTCAACCTGTAAAGAAGGAAACGATGGTCACAATAGTGGAAAAATCACATCGAACGTGAATCGGAAAGGGCCTCATCGGAGGCATTTTTTGAAACACTCTGTGGCGGTATTTTTCAGCCAATCGACCGATTCTTTCACTCCGATTTGGCCATGGGCGGGTTTAAAATTGAATTTCGTGCAAGAAGAAAATTTTTTACCTCGTTTGGCGGTCGAAAATGGCTCCGGTATGGCGGCGGGTGGCGGCGGTCGGCTCCCCGGTGACTGGACTATCTTCTCCGGCGAGGGGCTCTGGCGACTAGGGTTAGGGTTTGGGTGCGGATTGGTTTATTTATACCCATCCACTTTTGATCTAGGTCGTCCATCATTTTTAATCTGAACCGTCCGATCACAATTAAATAGGAAGTGAATCTGGATCGTTCATCGCGATTCAATCTGGGTCATTCGTGCGCACGGGAACGGATCTCAGCCGTTCGATCGCGTGCACACGGATCGCCTACGTGGCTCCCCCACGTGGCCTCTCGCGTCAGCGCCTCTGCCACCTGGCGTGTCCTGGTTGGTCGGAGTTGCTGACCGGGCAGCTGACGTGATGTAACTTTTTTAAATTACGTTTTGACCCCCTGGTTTCTGATTTTTCTTTAAAAAATACCCCCATAACTCAAATTTTCACCCCTTTTTCCCAAAATTGTTTTCAATTAAATCTCTAACCAATTTTTTTACCCTTTTTATTATTATTATTGTTATTATTTTTATTAAATCAAATTAAAATAAAATAATGTAAATTTAAATCATATAAATAATAATTATATTTATATAAAAAAATAATAATTAAATAAAAATAAAAATAATTAAATGTTGGGTGTTACAACTCTCCCCCCCTTAAAAGAAATTTGGTCCCTCAAATTTGCCTCTTACTCTCGATCGAACAATTGAGGGTACTGGGCTCTAAAGTCTGATTCTACCTCCCATGTGGCCTCCTTTGGTGTGTGGTTTTGTCATATGACCTTCACAAAGGATATCTCCCAGTTGCGGAGTAATCTGCTCTTTCAATCCACAATGTCGACTGGTATTTCCTCGTAGGATAAATCCTCCTTGAGTGGAAGAGGTTCGTGAGCCAAGACATGAGAGTGGTTCAGGTTGTACTTGCGTAGCATGGACACATGAAACACATTGTGGACCTTAAAAAGCTCTAGAGGCAGTGCTAGTCTGTAGGTGATAGTACTAATCATGTCTAAGACTTCAAATGGTCCAATAAATCGGGGGTTCAATTTCTCCCTCTTGCCAAACCTACTGATTCCCTTAAAAGAAGTGACCGTAAGGAACACCCGGTCGTCTTCCTCAAACGTTAAATCTCTCCTATGAGTGTCCGCATAACTCTTTTGTCTGCTCTGAGTCGTCTGAATATTCTTCTTGATCTTAACTATTTTGAACGTAGTCTTCTTTACCAGCTCCGGGCCGAATAATTTTCTATCGCCCACTTCTTCCCAAATCGGCGATCTGCATGGGCACTCATATAATGCCTCATACGGAGCTATGCCAATACTCCTTTGGTAACTGTTGTTGTAGGCGAACTCTATCAGGGGTAGACGGTCGTCCCAATGGCCCCCGGAGTTAAGGACACAAGCTCGGAGCATATCCTCAAGTGTACGGATTGTCCTTTCTGACTGTCCATCAGTCTGAGGGTGGAAGGTAGTACTGAGGGACAACTTCGCTCCCATGGCTTGCTAAAAGCTACTCCAAAACGAGAAGTGAACTTGGGGTCCCTGTCGGACACCATTGTCACTGAGACTCCATGCAATCTGACTATTTTTCGAATGTATATTCTTGCTAACTTATACAAGGGATCGGTCATCTTGATGGTCAAGAAGTGGGAAGACTTGGTAAGCCGGTCAACAATTACCCATATGACATCATGTCCTGAGCGTGCCTTAGGTAACCTTGTCACGAAGTCCATGGTGATATGTTCCCACTTCCACTCTGTGATCGGTAATGGTTGAAGTAACCTGCCTGGGTGCTGATGCTCTGCCTTGACCTGCTGACATACCAAGCATTTAGACACAAAGTTAGCTATGTCTCTTTTTATCTTGTTCTACCAAAATCGGGGTCGCATACTTTAATACATTTTAGTGCTGCCGAGATGCATGACGAACTTTGAGTTATAAGTCTTTGTCAT